GGGAAAACCCCCCCCCCCCCCCCCCCCCCCCCAACAGGCTAGAAAATCTTAAAATAACTTTTAAATTGCAGCAGTAAAGTGGCTCATGTGAATCACTGTTTTTAATAGACTTGCCCCCCAACTTCAACTATATTATAACGTTTAAACTTCAAAATACTCCATACCCATTGCCTTCCTGTTCCAAACAGAAAATGTACAGAACATGTATAGTTTAAATAAATTGCCACCTAATTTTAAAGTGACTCAGTGCATACCAGTTTGTTTTCAATCCAAGGGAAAAGGTTTCAGACTTCCAGAAATTGAGTTTTTAAACATTACTTAAGAGAATACTTCTAGATATACAACACTTTAGCAAACTTCTAAAGCTTCAACTGTCTCTATTTAATCTATGCAACTAGAAAGGAAACTTTATACTGCATAAAACTAAATCAACTCAACCTTCTTACAGGAGTAAATACCTTAATTTTGAGAGACTGGAAGCCCAACTTAAAGCATGTCACTGCCGAATAATGTTCTCTAAAGCCAAGGTACGTCTCTCTAATGCGTGTACCCATACTGACTTAACTGATCCTGCTAAGCTCCAGTCTTCAGAATTAACTTAATTATTTTCTGTCCCCCTCAGCCTTCTGTTTTGGCATTATCTATAATGGCTCTGGAGATAGAAGAAAAAAAACTACTTGAGTTGATGGAGGTGTTAAAGTGCCTTCAGACCCATTCCAAGGTAAGGTTTACTGTATTAAGCGAAGATGACAGTCTCAACATCTTTTCATAAAGATAACTTAATAGCTCTGAAGAATCCATAGTACAGACAGTCCTTGATGGAGGGATTTCAGCAACTCATTTGAAATGTTCCTAAAGCAGTCAGATGACACTAATACTTTTGTCTCCTAAGTCTTAAAATAACAACCATGGAAACACTTTTTCTTCTAAATGAAGACAAGAGAAGGATGTCTTGTCAGCTTTGCCATTTCTATAAGCTTATTTGGTATCCACTAATCACACCCAAGAGCCTCTTTTGTTAGAGGCATAGAACATTACAAATCCAAATAAAGCAGGAAAAACTGCACTAGTTCCTTAAAATACTCTTAGTCTTGACACTTAATGTCTTTTAGGACCGTACAAAATGGGATGTCTAACTAAACCAGATCTAATCCTGGACTAACACACTTGAGCCCTAGCCTGCACAAGTTTCTCTAGCTTCAAGTCTAGCTAAATGGGGTATGTTACTGATATCTAGCTCTTAGTAGTTTCATGCAAAACTTCGAGTTAAGAGGGCCTTCAACAAAAAAGTGCTTTTAATAGTCCGCAGTACCAAAGCATATGCTATTTCTTACCCTAGTGTCTCTACTGGCCTGTAGTATATAAGACCCTTATTAGCTTGAGTTACATCACTAATTGTGACTTAAGCAATTGATTTAATTGTAGTCTCACTTTTGTTTAGATAAGTGACAGAGATCTGGCTTTTTGGAAGGAATTAGTATTAAAGTGCCTTACAGAATATTCTTCAAGCAAATGTTGCAAACCAAATGTTCAGAAGTTAAAATGGATTGTATCGGGACGTACAGCACGACAACTAAAGCATAGCTATGACAGAATTACACACCTTCCCACCATCCCAGAAACTGGCTCCTAATAGGTAAATTTTTTTTCCCCTTAAATACTCTCAGACTTAGACTTTCAAGTAATTAATTTGTAACCAACTTCTCGGCAGTTATGCTTTTTATGATCTTGGGGGTTTCTCTTCAATGTTTCACACAGCCTAGGTACTCAACTTGGTTTCCAAATGAATGGGTTCTCATTTTCCTCTAAATGTTGTGTTTTTTGTTTTTAAATGGTCTTTCAGGCTCTTTTCATAAGCAGGCTGCTGCATCTTTAGACAGTCTCAGGCCTAAACTTGCAAAGAAACTACCTGTCCACTCAAGGCAGCATGTGATACAAAAACCACAGTACCACTCCCTGCACATAGTGCATTCTAGGTGCAAAAGCATGAATTCAGACACTTGTGCCCCACTCTACACAAAACAGTGGAACCCAAGTGAGTATAGCTAGAGGAGGAACTCTACAAGTCAGCTATGTTGTTACCTTGGTTCACTTTTTCCTATACAAGGAAACTGAAATAAAAGAAAGGTGCATATCTATTTCAGTAACAGGTCAACATACCAGTTTACCTTTTAGAATCAAAACTTGAACTGCAGGTTAATAGCCTGTCCTGCAGGCACTGAATGCAGGTCCTCTTGTTCTAGGGTGTGTTGGACTAGATGTCCCTAACATGCCTAGAGGCAAAAGAATAAGAAATCATGAGTCTGGGTTGTTTTTTGTTTTTGTGTTTTACAATTTTAAAATGCAACTTTTTTTTTTTTATTTCAGGCCAGAAACTATCTAGGTAGTAAGGAGTATTATACCACCCAAACTATCAGAATGTCACACTACATCAATATGACTCATCTTTATTGCTATCACACCGTGTGTATCATTACAATTAAACATGCTGGCTATACAAGCCTCAAAACTGTCACATAAAGTGACTATACAAACTGTTAAAAACAGTCATTGAATATTATCTGGTTCTAGCAAAATGGCATGCATCAGTCATTCTGGAACAGTTGCATGTCTTCTACTGTGATAGCATGGAGCTAGACTTCATGACCAAGAGATCCTATTTAGTTTACTGTTTATAAAAACAAACTGTTAAAGGCTCAAAGCTTTTAAACTTTGGGATGTGGGGAGCAACTTTAACAGTCAAGTTTCAGCTGCTAATACCATGCTTAAGATTCACACTCAAGTAAACTATGTTGAAAAAAGAACATCCACTACACTCAGATTGTAATCTGTACAATAATAGTAAGATAACTGGCTCTTCCACCTATACTGTCATACCTCAACTGGTAGTTTGGGGAAGTAGGATAGGTAGGATTCTCAAGTCGTCCTGTCCTTTTTCTTTTCTCCTCTGTCTTCCCCCCCCCCCCCCCCCCCAACTTGTTTCAAGATGCCATAATTTCTGAGATGTAATTTGTTATATGCAATGGCTTTTTCAGTTGATTTGTCTCTCTCATTCTCTACAGGAATCTTAAGATGGAAAGATGACCACTTCTTACAAGTGACTAGTTTAGAGTTCACTTGTAAAATTGCGAACTGACACCTGAATCACCATGGCTCTTAACATCTGAAGTTCAATTCTTAGATTTCTGCATATTTCAGTTGTCCAATACTCTGGACTAAAGAGGTTTGTTTTTTGTTGTGGTTTTTTTGTTTTTGTTTTTTGTTTGTTTGGTTTTTCTCCAGCAAAGGTACTCAATGTAGAATTTACAAGAATGTGAGTAGTAAACAGTCCTGAAGGACAGGACTAAAATCTGCATCTCAGTTGTACTTGACAGTAAGGTACCATGCTAATTTTAAAGCATTTAATAACCTCTTACTAGTTGGTATTCAACGCATAGATAAACTTATGTAGTCTAACCAGGGTTTACTGTAACTGGATGCAGTTAATTCTGTGAAAGTGATGCTCCTCTACTTAAACCTCCTATTTGAAACTTGAAGACTTAACTTACTTGTGCAGTATCTTTATAGCATTGTCCTCTAGGATTGAAGGTCATTGGGGAAACTACAGTAAGTTCAGTGTACTTACTGAAGATCAAAGGGTGCAAAATAGCAGACAAGCCAAATGCTTCATTCAAGTGTGCAAGTGGGTAGTCTCATTATGGCTATACTTGGTAATTCTTACAATCACTTTCTAAAAGTGTGATGCACTGAATTCTTTATGGTGGAGATTTGCAGTGCATAGATATATAGGGTTTACTACTTTAGGGGACCTTATGCTAAGGTCTTTCTTGAGGCCCCAACTATTCTTCCTTGGCAGTCGCACCAAAAGAGAGCTGTAACTTAACAGGGATGACTAATCAGTTTCAGGCCCTGTGCAGTTGATCAGTTAGCACTGATTTTATTGCTATTTTGGAGTGTAAAGCTTAAAAAAATCCTAACCTGGATACAGCATTTTTTTTTTTCTAGTCACAAGATAAGCGTTTCTTGGAGTCAGCCATTCAAGAGGGAGGTGTATTCTGGCATTTTAGAGGTGCAACTTTTTTTGTGGAAGTGGGTGTATTTGGAACAAACCTTGCCTCTAGCTACTGAACTAAGAAACTGCATCTATATCTGTAACTATCAGTTTGAATAGCATATGCCATCTTAAATGAAGAATAGAGCTGTACTATTCTTTTAACAAAAGCCTTGTGCCAAGACACTTTACTCACAGAATGTTGAGGTAGGCCTGGCTTTAACATGAAAAAAAGTTAACAACTCTGGTGTTTTGTAATGTGAGCAGCTGAACCTCTGATATAGTGATCTGAGTACTGTGAAAGAAGACTTTTTGTAGATCACTAACATTTGAGTGCAATATGAATTGAGGGATAGTGAAGAGAAGGCCTGTGAAGATCAGAGCATACCATAGGACTGGGGCTGGTGCACCAGTATCTGTTCTTCTTTCTCTAAGCCATATCCTCAATCTAAAGCTACAGTAGAACCATTAACAGAACACATTCAACCAAAATTGTACAGGAAAAGCAGAGCATTTTATTTTAATGTGAACTTGAGATGACTAGTGAACACTGTTAACAATGCTATTTCTGCATTGTATTACCTACCAACTTACTTTTTGAAAGAAGACAACTTTGTATGGAAATAACTCTGAAAGTGCGCGTTGTAGACCTTTAACAAAAGTGCAGTTATGCCACACTAAGAAATGTACCTTTTCAATAAATTTTATTGAGATGCAGTTGTCTTGACTATATCTTTCTTCTTGACTGTACAGTACAGGCTTCTCTTGCTTTATGTTGTACATGCATTCCTGGAAGACTAATGTGAATTTGCATACAGGGAATCCACTGTACAATGTAGCAAATTGGGATATGGTCCAAGACCTCAACTGTACAGACCCATTTCCACCACTTTTGGTACTCACCAACAACAGACAGTGCACACAAGCACAGGGCCCTATCACGAGGATGGCAAAAACAGAAGTGTGTTACAGACAATGAGGGAGGAACACCGTTCCCTACAGGAGACTATAGTTTGGTGTGCACCAATGCCCTGCGTATAGCAGCTGACTGCAGGTTTCTACCACTCTGATCCTGTAAGAGTGAACTGACCTTGCATATAACACTTTTGGTATAAAAAGGGTCATTGCATAAGAGCATATTTGCATGTGCAGAGCCCACATAAAGTGCAAGGAACCTGTGCAGCAAGAGCTCAGCTATTTTTTTTAAGACACTTACAAAGGCTGAATGACATTTAATTTAGGTAAAAAATCCAGATCTTTTAGGCCTGCTAACATGCATCTCCTACACTACACAAAAATATAAACAAGATAAAGCTAGTACTTTGTGATCCTTGCAGTCTTTATTCTGCCTTCTAGAATTAGATTGCTGCACTACACCAGCTCTTTTTGCATGTGAATGCAGCAGACAGAAATATCTGGAACAGTACATACTGGCACTCAAGAACCCTCTGAAAGTAAAGAATCTTTTAAATGTGTCCCCCTAGTCTTATATGGTATTCAACTACTTTCATAGGGCAATCACTGAATGTAATGGAAAGCTTTGTGCATGCACCTGTTTCTATGATTAATAAAATGACTGACTTAGAACAGCTGTGAACCTTAAGGTGCTTGCAACAAGGTGGCCTTGATTAAGTGAACAGATCCTGAGCTCAGACCCAATAAAATTTCCACAACATGCCCTTTCTGGTGCTTCTACAGCTGTTAGTAGCTGTCCAAAGTAGTGATTAAGCATTTTTACCCCCTCCCACAGAGAAGGGAATTTGATCACCAATGCAGCTGTCTAGATAGTATACTGCTGGTTCTCTATGCATCTACCCTGAATGCTTGTATTACCTTTGCCTTTCCCTCTGAAAGGAAATTGGAAAGAAAGCATTTGAACTTCAATGAAAGTGCACAGGTATACACTGTCAACTGCACTTTATCAAGTCTAGACAATCATTGTAAGTCCATCTTGTGCTTATCTGGGAAATTAGTAAAGGTAGAGATTGACTTGATATTACCAGGTAAGGAATAGTACAGCCCTTTCTCCTTTTAAAAGGATTTCTCTATATTAGGTAGGACATAACTAACTGAAATTATAGGACAAGCCGCATCCCTGGTAACTATTTGCATCTTGTACCATTCAAAATATCATACTTACCCAAATCCAAGATGACTTGAATTTAAGGCAACCCCCCTCCTAATTAGATTCCACAGCTGGCAATGTGTAAGTGTTATAATTTTCTATGTACAAAATCTAGTTATTAGAAACTATTAGTCTTAAATTCATTCCCCTCATTGCTGGAGCAGGAAAAACAGTGGGAAGGAGATAAACAGTAGCAGAGTGGGAAAGGGAGTAAAACAGTCTGATCCCTCCCCACTCCCACTTGTTTCCTCCCCACACACACTACTTGCCCCCCAGCATATGCCCCCCTGCCCAACATCTTGCCCCCTGTGACCCTGCCACCCCTCCCCCACTGTTGCCATTACCCTCAGTCAGGGCTCCAGCCACAGCAGTGGTGTTGGCAACTCCAGCTCTAGCCATGGAACTGGATCAGAGCTGCATGGCTGGGCACAGGATGAAGGCAGCCCATGCTCTGTGCCCCAAGCTGGGTTGGAGCTGAAGCTACTAGCAGGTAAATGGCACTACTGGAGGTAAGTGGGGGGGGGGGAGGGAAGAGCAGCAGCTCCAACATCACAGCCACATAAACCACCTGCCCCTGCCCCCACCAATTAAATGGAAAATAGCCTTATCTTGTATTAGAGTAAATACAGTATGTTTCTTTTGTGTGCACTTTAAAAGAATTACCTTTACAATTTTAATCATGTACTTTCATTAATTCTATCCACCCCAAAACTAAGACTATAACACTACACTTACTGACTGTTTAGGAATATTAGCTACACGCTACAGATTGCCAACATCATTCTGTTATCAATAGAGTGTACTGAATCCTGTTACTAACTAGGGTTCAATAAAATACAGCACCATGTTATACTCAACCATACTTGCTGGAACTAATTCTCACCTTCTGTGTTAGTTATTTCACTCCTCCCCCCTCCCCCCATTAGATTTATCTGCTTGAAACCATGTTCCTTCTTTTCACTGCCCCATGTTAAATAGATTACTAACCATTTTTAATCCAGTTAAATGGATAAATTGCTGGCAGAGACTCTACCTGGAAATTAACAGTCTACTTGCTAATATTTAAAATATGGTACAACTTAACTAGGCATCTCTACCTTCTACCCTTAGAATTGGATAGCCTATATGTACCCAACAGGCATTATAACAGTCAACTTACCAGACTGGGTCCTGAAAATACATAATTTGCCTAGGGATTACACTAAAAAATAGCACAAACCTATTGTTACAAATTTATATTTTTTAATTCAGATTACATACAAAAATGTATGAGTGCACATTAGTTGTCTTACACACAGGCACGTTATTCAGTAAGATACACAAGTTAACAGCTTAAGTGTGGCCATCTCTTTTTGTTCTACCCTTTCAGAAATCAAAACGTTCTCTTCACACAATCAATATATAGACACTAAGCATATCTAAAAGTACTTCTACTCAAGTCATGATACCATCATACTCATCCCTTGGTGATGCATGACACTTGAACAGAATGTCAAATCTGAATTTCTACGGCCTGGAGTAATACTCTTCATTCTGCCACCAGTTTTAGAATCAAACTTAACTCATCAGCTGGCTGCTTACCCAGAAAGAGCCACAAACATACTTTTTGAAGTTAGTTATGGAACACACAGCTAAGTGGTTTACCAGTGGAATTTATTGTTGAAAAGAAAATGGTAGCTGATGTTGAAAACTTGCATTCATAAGAGTGGTTTCCTGATATCAGTGACTCCAATTTAATATGGAGCACTTCTCCAAAAATATTTGTTTATATGTCATTTAAAATAATATGCTTGTCAAGTGTGCACATTATCTTCTTAGCAAGTTAGCACAAGTCAACAGGAACCCTTTACCATTTGCTGTTTGCCTAGACCCCTTCCATTTGGGAGAAAGCAAGGCAGGGTAGCACATTAGAGACTAACTGGTTCAGAGACATTCCACTGGGTAGATAAATTAAGTCTTCATTAGCTACAAACCCTTCAGTTTAAAATGAATTCTCTCAGGTATCATTAAACCCAGTTGAAAGTAATAATTTAATTTTCAAGGCTAGAGAAGTCTGGTCCTCCTTTGCTGTAGTTGCCAGAAATTTCTGCTCCACTGAAGTCAAATCCAGGATTCTATATTTGGGGAAGAAAAAAATTGTAAAAGGGTTAATATTCAATGAGTATGTAGATCAAAGTGTCCAACACTGTTCCAAACTGACAACAGTTTTTGAAAGTTAGCAGTTTCAATTCTTCAGGGAGAATGAAGAGACAAAAATGTACACACATGCATAAGCAATTATAAACTAAAAGCATGCTGGGACTGGTAGTGGCTAGACAGCTTATTGCTAAAATGAGTTTGCAGTATTACTACCCTTAGTTTAGAAGGCAGATAGATCTCTACCATCAAGAAAATACGTAACATGTAATGAATATAAACTTAAGTACATTTTGAGTTTTATAGTATTTCTTTAAATCACTTATCTGAAAAGATAAGCTTCTGCAGTCCTAAATAACATTTTTTAATTAAAAAGCATTTTATTTTCAGTAAAAGGAATTATTCAGATATTTTCTGACACAGCAGTTAACCAGTAAACTCTAATCCGACAACTCTGCTGCCACTGATTACTAACGCTTCTACAAAAAGATGGTTAAATGCCATATGTAGATGTCATTATGTTGAAAAGGATTGTAGTATTAGATCTGCTCAAAAAAACAAAACAGAAGTCATTATAGGCTGAGGCTTTACCACTTGGAAAACTGGTAGCTTTTACTATATACCCTGTATTAATGTAGGCATAGCAGTTTTATTTTGAAAAAATAAACCTTTAAATATAGGTATGTCTGGAGACCAGCACACTGTTTACTTTTATAGGCTCTATTCTTCTACAGCAGTGGTGGCCAACCATTTTGGTAGACATGCCACAACTTAAGGCCTATCCCCCCAGCCCGTCCCATAGTGCTCCTCTGATCTCCACCCCATCCAAAGGCAAACTTGATAGAATTGTCACCTGGGGTGCCAGAAAGCTTCCAGAAGCCCCTGCAGAATAAAGTGGGGGCAGGATGCTGCTACTATGACTGCTGTAGTTGCATATAGGAAGCCAGGGTACAAATCCCCAAGTTTGGCAGCAGCTGCCAGGCTAGGGGAAGGTTAATCTGGCTCTCAGCGCTGTTGTCCAACAGCGTCTCTAAGAGCCTGGGCCTCAAGTGTCAGACAGACGCACACAGCAGCTGCCTGTGCCACTTGTGGCACACATGCCACAGGTTGACCATCCTGGTTTTACAGTTAGTTAACAGCAATGTTCACTGACACTAAACCCCAAAGAACCTAAGCCAGTTATATACTATTGGCCAAAAACAACAGCTTTTGAAATCGTAATAGGAGGGTTTTTTGGGCTTTTTTTTTTAGGTTTTCTGTCACCAGAAAGACTAACGTGATTGAGCTAAAACAACTCCAGTTTCCCAAAGGAATGTAACTGGACAACAAAAGAATCTCTCCTATTTTTCCTGGCCATAGTTTCATAGTTGGCAGGGTTGGAAGGGACCTGAGCAGATCATCAAGTCTAACCCCTGCCGTGGGTAGGAAAGAATGCTGGGGTCAAACGACCATGGCTAGGTGATTGTCTAGTCTTCTTTTGAAGACCCCAAGGGTAGGAGCAAGCACCACTTCTATTGGTAGCTGGTTCCAGATCCTAGCCGCCCTGACTGTGAAGTAGTGTTTCCTGATGTCTAGCCTGAACCTACTCTCAGTCAACTTGCGGCCGTTATTCCTAGTTACTCCTGGCAGTGCTCGGGGGAACAGGAACTCTCCATAACCTGCATACATGCAAATAAAGCAGTCATTTTTATCTTCTGACTTGCCTCTTTTTGGAATCTCTCCAGCGTAAGTTTCCTTTGCATCTGGTCTTGTACCCAAGGATCAGCAGCATACTCATTTTCTAACAGAGAAGCCCAACAATTGCCAGCATCTCGATTAGTCTTGGTTAGAATAATACGTATTAATTTCCTGTCCTCTTTGGAAGAGAAAAATAGAAATAACCATCACTTCTGTGAAATAATTCATTTGTACAAAAAAACCACGGTAAGAGCTTTGAATATGGCTAACAACAAGGATGGCAAGAAGTTATTTTGGATGGAACAGATGTAAAATAGTGTAATAAAATTAAATTAAGAAAAGGATGCAGCTGAATGTCAGTGGGGAAAGACTTCTGTACAAGCAAGTCAAATACAGGGGAAAGCATCTCAAATTAGAGGACTGCCTGGGACATTTAGGAAAATTATAACATTTCCCATGTTAGAAGCTAATTATTGGTGGCAAGTTATCTTAAACGCAAAGTTGCTTAGATTATGGTAAACACAGAATTTCCTTTACATCTAAATTCTAGAAGACTAAACCATGAAAGCCTTTGACCTGGTAGAGGATTCTGCGGGGTCCCTTCCCCTATGATTCTATGAATCAGCACTGGTTTTGGATTAGGAGGTTCATCCTCCACACCTGAAAACAAGCTATTCAAAGAAGGATCTCGAAACATGCCTCCTGAAGACATTCCTGAATACTTTATAGAATGTAATAATAAATTGCATAAGGCAATTCTAAAACTCAACAATTTCAAGTTCAGATGAATTCTTGTGGGGCATCTGCTGTTCACCACTAGAACCAAGTCCTACAAGCATATCCTAACTCTTTAAAGAGGGAATGCATATGTTGTGATTTCCCATCTCCGTCACAAGCAACAGCAGTTAAAGAACTATTGTGGTTGCGGATAAAGTATCACGCTGTGGTAAAGGATGAGTGAGAAACCAACAAGAAAAATAGTAATTATATGCCCCATGTTTCTTCAAGAAACTTTTTCCAGACTAATTATTATGCCAGTACAGTAAAAGCTGCCTTAACCAGCACTTGACAAGCTGGCATGCTCTATTAACTGGCATGCCGGCTTGTAAGGTAAAAGTGAAACCAGAAATGCCCACCATGGCACTTCCAGTTTTGCCAAGTCCCCACGGCCCAGGACATATCAGCTTGCACGGGGCCCCCCCTTAGGGCCCATGGGAAGGTTAGCAATGCGGCAGGAGGGTCTGCAATGTGGTGGGAGGGGCGGTGGCCCAAAAAGGCAAAGACACCTGTTCAGGCCTCTTAGTTAACTGGAATATTTTGTTATCTGGCACCCCCCATTTCCCATGGATGCCGGATAACAAAGCTTTTGCTGTATATAAATAAACTGTGCTGGTTATTTTTCAAATTAACAGTTATTCCATTACAGAATTCAAACCCAATTTTTCCAGGCATTTCTCTGTCAGCCTCAACCTATACCTTTCGGTGTACAATTCATGCTTCATACAAATACAAGATTAAGTTACTTTATCTAAGTCAATTACAACCTCCCTCCTCCACAGTATGCGACTCCTGATCTTCCTATCAACAGACTAGTTAATTCCCATTAGTCTGGCATAATATGTGTACAAAAGTGCTTAACATGGAGGGTCAGACTAACTGCATTTTACATTTCATCATTTTTTGTTAAACTACATGCCAATCTCATGTCACACCTGAAAAATACACTGTTGAAGAAAGCAGGACAAAAAATAAAAGTATGTGCCTGTTTTTCAAAGTCAGTTTTTTTAAAGTACAGAGAGAGGTGCAAACAAAAATTGTGTCTCTTTTCAATATTTCATGTAAGCGTATTCGTACCTAATGTCCATGTCCCTTCATCAGCTATTGTAGAGTCAAAGAGTTTACCCTGAAAAAGAATTATAACGTTACATAAAATTGATACAATTTTTAATTCTAATGAAAAATACCAAGAAAAAAGCAAGTCTGCTTTCAGAGGAAAAGAGTCATCAACTTCTGCAGTATCAAAATTTGAGTGTTGCTATTAACTATTTTAGCAATTACTAACAACTAAAATCAGGACACAAAGCCTGCCTCACATATATACAAGAGCAAGATTACAACTCAGAGTACAGACCCAAAGATATTTTTGAACTTATACATGTCATCCTCATACACAACAATTTCACTTTCAATAACCAACACTTCCCTCCAGACCATGGGCACAGCTATGGGTACCAAAATGTCCCCACAATATGCCAACCTTTTCATGAACCACCTGGAAGAAAAATTCCTCAAGGACTGCACCATGAAACCCTTGCTATACTTAAGATATATTGATGACATCTTTAACATTTGGACTGAAAACTTGCAATCTCCAATGATTTTAATCAGAAATTCAAGAATCATCACCCCTCCATCAGACTCTCTCTAAAATACTCCAATACAACATTTCCTTTTGAGACATGATGGTCACCATCCAGAATGGTAAAATACAGACCACCATATACAAGAACCCCATGGATTGCACTGAACCATTAATCACCCTAAACATACCAAGAAACCTGTAATATACAGCCAAGCCCTCCAATACCACAAAATTTGCACTGAGAACACCTGTGATCCTCACCTCACACATCTCAAAAGGCTTTCACATAAGGCTTTCAAAGACAAGAATGCCCACTTCTCACAAGAAAACTATTCTCTCTCCAATCTCTCAGTTCTAATTCTCAAAGGGAATTTACAAAACACCTTTCACAGATGAGCCTACAAACTTCACTTCATCAACTTACTGGATACAAAAAATCATGGACTAAATATAGACATTGGATTTATGACACATTATAGCCTGCCTAACATCCAACTCCCCAGGTAAACCCTCTACTTTTTACCAGCTATTCTCATTCCCTCCTTTGACTACAGCTACATTCATTCCCCTTCCCCGCAACCCCCACCTGTCTCTCATCCACTGACCAACCCAATTTACATTTTAACTGACTGGCTTTCTTGCATAACTACTGGCCTCTGGCTGCTTTACCACTCCATCCAGGAAGAACACAGACCATCTGCGGATGCCTCCTCTGCCTGATGAAGGATACCTGTACCGGAAAGCTTGCAAAGAAGAATTTTTCCAACTATCTGAGTTGGTCTAATAAAAGATAACAGATTTACCCAAGGTACCTTGCCTGCTTTTTTATAACAATACCCTTCTTATAGTTAAGCGCTTGAAGAGAGGGACTTTGCCTATGTATCCTACCTGAAACGTTTAGCAGGCTAGCAGGGTACAGACACTTCAGCATGAGAAACAAATGATAGTGTTAACACTTAGTGCATAAAGAGCTATGCCCGCTGATCTCTGTGGGCACCTACAACAGCAGGTCAGCGCGTGGGCCTCATCTGGAGCAAGTGATACTTCACAGGCCCTTCAGCGCTCGCATGGTCGTTGCCAACTGAACAGAAGGGAGGCAGCTACACTCAGGTCACATACTTCTTCCCAGTAAGGTTTCTCTATGTTTGTTTTCCATAAGCCTGGTGGGGAGGGGTTCAACCCTGTTTCTAGCACAAGTCAGCCCAGGCTGTTTCCCTCTACTCCAAGCAGCGCCTACTGAGGCTGGAGCCAGAGCGCTGCAGCCTCCGGAGCTTCATGACCGCTGCTTGCTCCCAAGGCGCCCCCTGCCTGAATGCAGCGCCACAGCGTGGGCCTGTGTGGCCACAAGGTTCCCCCTCTCCCCACACAGATCCTACAGCCGCTGCCTAGGAAGCTGTGTGGTGTGATGCGACAGAGCCCGTGGAACTCTCCTGGAGCCTACACTGACCCTGTACAGTTGACAACCATGTTTGAATTTATTCCAAGAGGTTTCTGAACACCAACGTGCCTGTGACAATGTGAATGTACCCATGTGCTTGTGTATATCAGCTACTGATTACAGTGTGCAGACTTCACGCCATGAAGGCAAGCCCACATTACTATTACATTTCAAAAGCCCACTGGGCTACTGTATAAAATCAGATTCAACATTGAATATTTATTTGAATGAATGCCCTATCACCGATCTCCAGGGTGACTCTCAGCAGTCTCCTGGAGACTTACATCTCGTTCCCTGAGACGCGAGGGCAACCCTAGAGGGTTGGCAACCCTACCGCCGGGGCGTCTCCCACGGGGCCTCCCTCCGTCGCGGGCCGGCGGTACCTGGAGCACGTCCTGGCCCTGCACGGAGAGCGACAGGCGCTGGCTCTGCAGGCGGCACCGCACGTCCTTGGCCCGCGTGCCCAGAGGGACCTGCACCTCGATGAACACCTCCTCCAGCGTCTGGTACCAGCAGCCCCAGGGCGTGGCACAGGGCACCACCCCACTGCGCTCCTCGAAGGGCGCCGACATCCAACACAACGCGGCCGCTCCCTGGCACCGGAAGTGACCGGGCACGCAGGCGTAGAACGACGCTAAGCCTCAGCTTCCGGGTGACTTCGTGCGCGTGCACCAGCCGGCGGCAGGAAGGCGCGGCGATTGGTCGAGCAGCTCACAAGTCGAGCGCTGTGATTGGGCGCCGGGGTTTGCAGGGAGAGCGGTTAGGCACTTTGAATCCAGCATCGGCGGCAGCGGCCGCTCAGTTGCGCTGCGTTGCGCTACGGGACTGTCATGTCCTTCCCCAGGGCGCCGCTGCGGCGCTTCAACGACACCGCCGGTGAGTCCCGCCTGCCGGCGCTTGCCCTGCCCGCGGTCGCCTGCAAAACGGGGGGAGCCGGGCGGGGCTTGCTTTCCTCCGGTTCTTTTTTCCTTTTATTTCACTTCAGTCGTCTCCCCCTTACTGGCAAAGCGGCGCGGCGCTGTCTGGGTTGATTTCAGATCCGCCCGTACCTCGGTGACGGGGGACGGTGCCGCTGTAACGTGCTCCCCAGTGGTTGTTGGGGCCGGACCCACTCCGCCTGCTTCAGCTCCTCCTTGTGACCCACAAACACTGCCCGGCGCAGCCTCGTTGGTGCCGCCCGACGACACGGGACCCTTAGAGTTTAACGTGTAGTTTGTAGGGGCAGGTCTGGATGGGGATCATCCGCCTATTTGGACTATTTCGGCGGTTTTCAACCTATTTAATACTATTTGTAAACCTCAATGGCCAGTCCTGCCCTGCTGTCCCAAACCTCCAGTGTAGGGGAGTGTATGGGGGCTGGGGTGGGGAGGGGGCAGCAGCCTCTTGCAGGTTGGAACAGTGCCAGCCTATAAGGGAAAAGCCTCAGCTTCCCACGTTTCTCTCCGTTAAAGGAGAATCCATTTTTAAAGTTTCTTCACAACCCATTCATATGTTCTTCCGACTTGCTTTTGGGCCAGACCCATGGGCTGAGAAACACTGGACTAGATGACCTCTGGAGGTCCCTTCCAGCTTTGCTTCTCTGATGCTGTGACTTGCCCGTGTTCATTTATTTGTGCCATACTCTTGCAAGAAGAAAGCTTTTCAGCAGGATGAACTTGAAGGGTGTCTTAACACAAGGGGGCTGGGGGGGGGGGGGGG